CCCCCCCCCCCCTCCCCCAAATTGAACCTTCAATGGGGGTGCTTCTTAACCTATTCGGATATTTCATATGTTGTATTGTGAACGTTTAAAACTCGTTTAAGTTTAGAAATTAATTTAACAGGTGACAATAAAACCATTTATCTGAGTATAGGCCCGTGGGGCCTATTAAAGCCCATTACTAAAACAATGCGTTTCGGAGCCTATCTAACTTGTTGTTCAAGAAGTGGACCTTAGGAAGCTAAAAGACGAGCCAAACGCATCCAATTTCGTCGATTCGCCGATCAATCCAGCTCGTATGATCTTTCTCTTCTCAACAACTTCTTAGTTGATAAAATACCCTTCTCGTGTATTAACCCAGATCTGTTAATTTTCATAGGTTTTTGATTCTTTTGTGCAGACACTTAAAGGGTTTTACAGATCGAAGTCGAGGAAGAAGAAGAAGAAGAAATGTTTCTCACTAGGTGTGTCTATCTTCTTCTGCTTCTGGGTTCACTTAAAGTTTCGTCCTTTTTATGTTTCAGTCGTGGGTTTTGCTTATCGTGATTCTCTGATTTTGTTTTTGTTACGAAGGACTGAGTATGACAGAGGAGTCAACACTTTTTCTCCTGAAGGGAGGCTATTCCAAGTCGAGTACGCCATTGAAGCTATCAAGGTAACAACTTTTCTAATTAGTGGAAGTTAAGTTGAAGAAAAGGGGTTTCTTTGTTTGATTTCTCATTAGTTCTTAGTGTTGTATATTGATGTTTGGACTTGGGATGAAATGCCCACTGTTTATGCATATTATAACTTTAGAAACTGTTTCTATTGAAGCTATATAGAATGGATAGTAGCAGCATTAAGAGAAGTTGAAGAAAGAGTTCTTGCTTGGATAATGATTTAGTGGGTTTCGTTGATTGCTTAGACAGTTTAAACGCTTATTAGTTCTTAGTGTTGTTGACATTGAAGCTATAGGAATAGATAGTATCAGCATTGAGAGACGTTGAAGATTTAGTTAGTGATCTTGTTGGATAATGATTTAGTAGGTCTCTTTTTTGATTACTTAAGACTATTTTGGATCATATTTCCTTGTTTAATCGCTTTAGTTGGGATTTTTAGTGTGAATTATATTTCTTGAGTCTCTGATGAGTGTGGACTTATTGCAGCTTGGTTCTACGGCGATTGGAGTAAAGACAAAAGAGGGAGTTGTGCTTGCTGTCGAGAAGCGTATCACCTCGCCTTTGCTGGTTTGCCTACTTACATTTGATCACTTCTCTTTGATTTAGTGAATTGCATCCCTGGTGTTGCATTAGATAGGATTAAGTATAAGCATTATATGCTACTTATATACGGTATCTCAGTCTATGTAAAAGCTACTTGCACCGAATCCTATTGAGAACAACATCAGTCTATGTTTAAACAAGTGGTTCACCTTGTGTTGACTGGTTTGGCTGCCTACATTGAGTCTTTGTTTCTCAAAGTTAATAATAATTTTATTTTTCAGGAGCCAAGCAGTGTGGAGAAGATTATGGAAATTGATGACCATATTGGCTGTGCCATGAGCGGTTTAATTGCTGATGCCCGTACTCTTGTTGAGCATGCTAGAGTTGAGACTCAAGTGAGTTTTTTTTTCTCGTTCATTTTTGTTCCTTACAGTGAAAAGATCTGACTGCTTCTTTGCTGATGTACAGAACCATAGATTCTCTTATGGTGAGCCGATGACAGTAGAGTCCACAACACAAGCGTTGTGTGATCTGGCTTTACGGTTTGGTGAAGGAGATGAAGAATCAATGGTAATAATAGATGATCAAATCAGAATGTCTAGTTTCTTTCACATCACATCTCTTGGCTTAGACTTCATGATTGAATTCATTAGTTATCTATATTGAATCTTTACGTTTGAACATGACTCATTAGTACTAATTCTCTTTTTGTCTTTTCATCCATGTTTAGTCTCGGCCATTTGGAGTATCCCTTCTCATTGCTGGCCATGATGAGAACGGACCAAGCTTGTAAGTATTTAAGCTTTCTTCTATAGTTTAGTTGATCAAATTGTTAAACGGTTCGGTCTTGTTACAGGTACTACACAGACCCGTCTGGAACATTCTGGCAGTGCAATGCAAAGGCAATAGGTTCAGGCTCGGAAGGAGCTGATAGTTCTCTTCAGGAGCAATTCAACAAAGTAACTTGAGCTTCTGTACAATACTAGTTTCTCAATCTGATTGCTGCTGTTATAACCTGTAACTTTGATGCAGGATCTGTCACTTGCAGAAGCTGAGACGATCGCTGTATCTATCCTCAAGCAAGTTATGGAAGAAAAGGTACAAACTTGTACAATTTAAAAAAGTTTTGGATCCCATCTAACTGTTGTGGTCTGTGTAGGTAACTCCTAACAATGTGGACATTGCCAAGGTAGCTCCAGCATACCATATCTACACTCCACAGGAAGTTGAAGCAGTCATTAGTCGTCTTTGAGGAAGTTGCTCAAATACGGTTTGATGTATCTTATCCTCGTTGTGTCTCCTTTGGATTTAATAGACCTAAGAGGATTCTTTCACTTTGGTCTTTTAGATTTGATGTTTCATTTGACGGTTTTAGTTGTGTTGTGTAAGAGAATCTCTTCTTTCCCAGTGTCATTCAATAACCTATCGGATTTTGTGACGGCTAATTTCCATTAAGATAAGCTGATGCAAATGACCTATCTTTTCTTGAAACTAATGTTCAGTTGTTTGAAGCTAACTCACACTCCAATTATTTTTGTCTTTTAATGGATTTCATATTACCACTCAAACCCTAGACTGAGTAAGCTTATCAAAACGGCTCAACATAAAATTAAAATTGTTACTTTTTCACAAATTACAAATTAAATGGCTTAAGTAACAATTTCAACTTTTTTGTTTATTTAAAATTGAGATTCTTTCCAAGTTTTTTTCATAGAAAAAATGGGTGAAAGTTTACAGAAAAAAAAGAGAAAATCGTATTTTACAACTTTTAAGTGGGATTTACATGGAAGTTAATTTTTTTAACTTTCCACTAGACTTTCTAACTTTCAAACTAAAGAATTTAATATAACAAACCTTGAATTATTGATCGTGTGACAATATAACCTGACAAAATTGATGATCTGGATATATGACTAGAAAAATTATAATGATGTGAAATTTATTTAAAATAAATTAAAATTAGATTGTTATTTACAATAGTATGTAATAATTTTTTTTAAAAAATTCTATATTTTAGAATACCTTTTTCTTAAAATATATAAATAACAATATAATTTAAAACTATTTTAAAAACATAAAATGTCATATTACAATATATTGTGTTTACTATACCTACAAATCAAATGATATATTTAAATGATTTCAAAAATTGTGAAATCAATTAAAAACTCAAAATAATATTGAGATTATTAGAATATAATTTTTTAATTTTTTTAATTTGTATTATCTAATATTTTAACTTAAAATAAAATAATAATTATCAATATTATTATTATATGATTTCCTTTCATTAAAATTATTAGCATTATTATTGTTATTTTTTACATGATTTTGCCACATCTTCAAACTTTAAGCGACAATTTTAAATCATTTTTGATATATTAAATTTTTATTTTTAAGGTTAAAAGCACTAGCGAATAAGTTTTATATTTAAAATGCATGTAAGTGTTATTTAGTTTTAAAAATAGATTTTTGGAAAGAAAAACAAAGAAACCAAAGCCCAAAAAAGGAAAATGGGAAACTCGAGTCTGTCCTGACCTAAGTCGGATGATATGGGCCGAGTTTAAAGCCCAGTTTACACATGCGAGGTTTTTCTAATAAATAGCCCACACTTGTAAACCAAACCAAATCAAATCAAAGAGTATCCTTTCCTCTCCGACAAGCCAAAGAATCGTTAAATCTCAAATCTCCGTCAAACCCCGGCAAAAGATGACGAGAGATATCGAAGATGAGATCAGAGACGAGAAGAACCCTCGCCCTCTTGACGAAGATGACATCGCTCTCCTCAAGACTTACGTGAGCAACCCACTCTTTATGATTTTTTACTCTTCTGGGTTATCGGATCTAGCTTTAGACTAGTCCACGTTAGTTAAAGTTGTTACCTTTAGGGCTTCTCGAATTAGGGTTTCTTGCCCTTCACACTGTTTGCTAGGTTTCGTCTCAGACAAAACCATTTTGATGTTTTATCGGTCTGAGTGATTCAGTTCTGGTTGTGTCTGTTTCTCTCCTTGTCATAAATGTGATTCCCTTTGGCAGGGGTTAATGCCTTACTCTGCACGTAACAAGAAAGTAGAGAAAGAAATCAAGGAGCTCGTCAAGAAGATCAACGATATATGTGGTGTGTTTGGGTTTACTTTCTTTCTGTTTAGAGGATGTTTTGGTTACTTTATGTGGAAACCTTGATGGAGCTTCTCACTTTCATTGCAGGTATCAAGGAGTCTGATACTGGTTTAGCTCTTCCTAGTCAATGGGATCTCGTCTCTGATAAACAGATGATGCAGGAGGAGCAACCTCTCCAGGTACCCTTTATTTCTTGTCAATATAGTCTTCTTCTCTAATTGGTTACTTAAGGTTATTATTGTTCTAGGTTGCTAGATGCACAAAGATTATTAGTCCAAACACTGAAGATGCGAAGTACGTCATTAATGTCAAGCAGATAGCCAAGGTACATTTTTATCCCTAAGCTGATGTTTCTTCATAACCGATTGTGTATGTGTGGTCTTAGTGGTTATAACTGCTTTTTTTTGTGCAGTTTGTTGTTGGCCTTGGTGATAGAGTTTCTCCTACTGATATTGAAGAAGGCATGCGTGTGGGGTATGTTTCATGTTTATGAACTTTAGTTAGTCTCTGGTTTAATTAGTTGATCCTTATGTCTTCTATCTATGTTTTTCTTGTTGCTTTTATCAATTTATATTTCTCATAGGGAAGCTAATTTACAGAAAAAAACATTCTGTCTTTGATTTTTATTTGCAGAGTTGATAGGACTAAATATCAGATACAGATTCCTCTACCTCCAAAGATCGATCCTAGTGTGACCATGATGACTGTTGAAGAGAAACCTGATGTTACGTACAATGATGTTGGTGGCTGCAAGGAGCAGATTGAGAAGATGAGAGAGGTATGTTATCATCACGTGTCATTGTCTTCTCTCATTGAAAATCATTTAAAGGTTATGTTGTGTTTGTTGATTGCAGGTCGTTGAACTGCCAATGCTTCACCCAGAGAAGTTTGTGAAGCTTGGAATAGATCCTCCCAAGGGAGTTCTCTGCTACGGTCCTCCTGGTACCGGTAAAACCCTTTTGGCCAGAGCTGTTGCAAACAGAACCGATGCTTGCTTTATCAGAGTTATTGGCAGTGAGCTTGTTCAGAAGTATGTCGGTGAAGGAGCTAGGATGGTTCGGGAACTGTTTCAGGTAATCGATAGTCAAATCTATCCGAGTTGTTTTACCTCTTTGCTGCGTTATCTGAAATTGTATAATACTGGTTTGCAGATGGCACGGTCTAAGAAAGCTTGCATTGTGTTCTTTGATGAAGTTGATGCCATTGGCGGTGCAAGATTTGATGACGGTGTAGGCGGTGATAACGAAGTCCAGCGTACTATGCTTGAGATTGTGAATCAGCTTGATGGGTTTGACGCACGTGGTAACATCAAGGTTCTTATGGCAACAAACAGGTCAGTCCACAGTCCCATTCCTAATCAGCCTTAAGTAAACTACACAAACACAATTATATGGCTTGACTCATTGGTTTTTTTGTCTCTATATGAAACAGGCCTGACACACTGGACCCTGCTCTTTTACGACCTGGACGTCTTGACCGAAAGGTTGAGTTTGGTCTTCCTGATCTCGAGAGCAGAACACAGATCTTCAAGATTCACACACGAACCATGAACTGCGAAAGAGACATTCGTTTCGAACTCCTTGCTCGTCTCTGCCCAAATTCAACTGGTAATGATCCAAAACCATCTAACAGGTTTTTTTTGAGTCTCTTGAGATTTCTTCTGGCTGATAGTTATGTTATTTTTTCTTTGTTTTGCCAGGAGCTGATATCAGGAGTGTGTGCACTGAGGCTGGGATGTATGCAATCAGAGCTAGGAGAAAGACTGTGACTGAGAAAGACTTTCTGGATGCAGTGAACAAAGTCATCAAAGGTTATCAGAAGTTCAGTGCAACTCCCAAGTACATGGTCTACAACTAGAGAAAGAGACAGAAACAGTGTCTGTTCATCTCGTTTCAGTCTCCTTTTGCAGTACGTTTTTATTTAGTCCAGTAACTCTTGTTTTCGTCTGTACTTTTGACTCCATAGTTTCTCTTTTAAGTTTGTTATTTGCAGTCAATCTTATGAAAGAACTGAACCAGAATCAGTGTGAAACAAACAAGAACTGATTCTGTTCATATGTACATGATCTAAAAGCTTGAAATTTGAAAATTTGCAGTAAAGTATTGCAAATTATCATAGAGCAAGAGCCGCACATAATCTTAAGAAACTTATTATAACACCGGTTGTGTCTGAGAACTGATTGCTCTCAACAGTTGATTGTTCTGAAGGTATCTGTCAAAGCTTATAACATCCAAATGTTAGTAGCACTCAGTTAGAAGCTCTACGCAATGTGTTAAGAGGCTCTCTAGTATTTGGCATATTACTACTTAGCTTACTCCTTTCAGCATTCCAAAACAAAAAGAAAGCTTAGTCCTTTTAAATCAGTCTTTATAAAGAATGTTGATTTCAATAATTGAACCGATGTATAAGTAAACAAGAAAGAATATTGTTCAAGTCGATGATCTAAAAGCTACAAATTTGGAAACATATTACAACAAAATACAATGGGATAATATACTGTGTGAAGGTTTATCAAACATATTAAAATAAAAACAATGACTTCATCCATATGGAGCAAAGTGTTCTTTTTTTTTTCCTCTGTGGTAATGGATTTACATGTAATCGTTGGTTGTCTCAGCACTTCCAGAACGTTGTGATGGATCAACTCCAACAGTTCTCTTGCTCATGTTAGCTCTCTGCACTAACACAACCAGTGACTGCACAACTTCAGACATTGGTGGTCTGAACTCCGGTTCAGGCTGTTCAAGAACCAAACCCAAATTCAGTAAACAGTTTCTTGATTTTGTAAGTCACTAATAACAGTCAATTAATGGCCATTATATGTACCTGGACACAGAGGGCAATAACATCTGCAAATCGAGAGAGAGATTTAACCGGATAAAGTCCTTCAAGAGCTGGATCAACCATCTTGCCTAAAGCATCAATGTCATGAAGCTGTGGTGTAGCCCATCTAACCAATGACTGCTCAGACCTTGACCTTGTGCTGCTCAAAGTTAATAACCCTTCAGAAAACACATTCCTCATCTCTAAATCTAAGTCTAGCAATGATCATAACTAGAAGTTTACCTGTCGAATGGTTTCCTCCCGGTTAAAAGTTCAAGCATCACTACTCCAAAACTGTACACATCACTCTTCAAAGAGTATTGACCTGACATTGATACTTCAGGTGCGCTATACCCTTCATCGGTTTGGTTTAGTAACTGCACGTTTACCAGAATGATAATATAAGCAAACCAAATTAAGTTGAGAAACTTTGTAAAGAGTTTGTATATCCAACCTCATTTGCTGTGGGGAGGAAGCTTGCGAGACCTGAATCTGATAAGTGAGGATTCATCTCTGAATCAAGTAAAATATTGGCTGATTTGATGTTCTTGTCAACTATAGATGGTGAACA